TTGGTCAAATAAATAAGATTACATCAACTCCTTGTGTAAGGAGTTGTGTTACAACTGCAGTGTAAGGTAATTTACACCTGTTACGTACAAGGAATTGTCAATGTTTTTCCAATGTATAGCACAGAAAGAAGGACAGATTTCTGAATTTTGTCTGCAAGCAGCATAACGACCCTTGAACTGTAGTAGAACCGGAGTTCTGAATTTCCTAGGAATTACCAGCATCTGACCCCTACTCACCCAGAAAAGGAGCTGGCACAGTCCTTGATTTTCATGGTCAGAATTTTTAAAATAAATAAGTTATCTCACTGTCCCAGCTGGAGGAGGATAGAGATCAGCTGCAGGCTCTCCCTGTTCAGAACACAGGAAACAGCTGCCCCCAGAGCCCATCTCTGCATCCTCACAAGCCCAGAAGTGACTGAGGAGCTGCAGGATAGGGGCCTGAGGAAAATGAGGGCACTTTTCTTGGACGTGCATCCCTGCACCCTCCTCTCAAACCATACACCAAGGTCAGAGTGGTCCTAAATAGTGAAGAATCAGAGAATTGTGGAGTGATTAAGGTAGAAAAAGCCCTCTAAGATTATCAAGTCCAACCATCAACCCAGTACCAACCACATTCACCACTAAGCCACATCCCCAAGTGCCACATTTTTTGAACACTTCCAGGGATGGTGACCCCATCACTGCCCTGGGCAGCTCGTTTCAGTGTTTTACAGCCCTTTCCATGAACATTTTTTCCTAATATCTAATCTGGACACTCTCTGGTGCATTTTGAGGCTGTTTCCTCTCATCCTCAGCAAGAGGCCCCTGCTCCCCAGGAGCACTCACAGAACAAGTGACATCTTTCCAAACAGCAGTGCTTTTCTGAGCACCAGATTTGGAAGGGTTTCAGATGTTTAATTTTGAGAAGCTAAGGGATAGTTTCCCTGTGCAAACACTAGCACAGAACAGTTTGGGATGTAGCAACAAAAAGCCCCTTGGCTTAAGGTCAATAAAAGTGAAACCCCCATTTCTACCCATTCCCTCTCCTGGACACCTCACAGTGGTTGTAACACTGACAGTCCCAAATAAACCAATGGCTTTGAACCTGCCCAGTGCTGCTTCCAGTCACTGTCCCCAGCAAGAGCTGCAATGCTGGGCAGTGTCACCCAGTTCTGCTCCACAGGAGATGGAATTTCATTACAGGAAGGGCCAAACAAACAGATGAAGGTTTCTTGGTATAACTTCTTTGTATGTTTGAGATAACATTTTAAACTGATCTGGCACTGATCAGCCCAGCTGAGTCTATAAGACCTCCAAAACATGTTGAGAAAACAGCACTGAGAGCAGGGCAGCAGAACCATCCTACATCCAAGTTCTCCGTCAAACTGGGACATTTCAGCTCACCAAAACGCCAGGTGTCTGGTGCTGTTTGAGATGTTCTGGTGCTCCAGCTGCTCTCTGAGACAGAAGTGTCCCTCAGCAGGGTCCCTGTCATGCTGCCAACCTCCTGCAAGTGTCTCAGACATAGTGTGGCACCTAAACCCTGCCAGAGGTGACACCTGCCACCAGAGTTACTCCTCTACCATGCTTCTCATTGATATCACAGTTCCATCGATGTTTATTTTTTGAAAGCCTGGCATGGAGAACCTCCTTCCATGGAGAAACTCCTTCCATGGTTTTTAGTGATTTTGTCCCACAGAATGTCCAGGGGAGCACCTGCCCTCCACAGCCCCTCTTGCTGCTAGCGCGCAGTTGCTGGCAGGACCACTGTGAACACATCTGAGCAGAGCCACAGACCAGCTGTGCTGGGCTTGCTCTGCCCAACTCGACCTTCTTTGTGCAGCTGCTGAGGCCAGGACAAACACAAAGCATGCCAAAACAGCACCACAAGGGCACACAGCAAGCAGACAGGAGCCTCATGCCCTGACTCTTTTTCCCTGCCTGTCTACCATCAATATCCTCCCCAGCTCCCCTTCTTGTGAGGACAGGCACTGCCTGTGTTCCAGCAGCCAGGATCCCTTAGGAAGGGAATGAAGAGCAAGCAGCTGGCACTGGGCACAGAGTTCTTCCCTTCCCTCTGCCCTCCAGGCATCTCCTCTTGGAGAAGGGGCTGCAAGGGGCAGCTCTCCTGGCTGTCCAGGCCTGCAGCAGCCACTGGGGATGAGGGCAGCCTTCTAAGGGCAAGGAGAGGTTTGGGCCCCTCACCTTCCCCTCCTGCCTCCTCTGCCATCCCTGCCTGCACACTGGCTCAGCCACTGGGCACTGGCAGGCAGAGGGGGCAAAACCAGTTTGCTACAGGGCTGGAAACAGGTTTTATTGGCCCCACAATTAATTCCTGAGTTTCTGCCACTCATAGGAGCCATTCCCAGGATCACAACTGGGATTCATTCCACAGAGCAGGAACAGGAAAAATCTTTACTTGTACTGTCCTGGGTGAACAAAAGAAAATCCCAGTCCCAAAATGTCACTGGCCTGCAATGGCAAGCTCCAAGCAAGGACAGTACCACCTTCCTCAGAGTTCCTGGTATCTCTATAAATCCTGTTATCTTTACCTGTATAACCACTAGAGCTAGCCATATCAATATAATTTATGTCTTTTTTTTATGGCTGCAGCAAAGAATTTGAAAAAAAAATTGAGATTGAAAACAATCCCATGAAGTTCAACCTCTTTGAATTTCAAACTGAAAAAAGAATCCAAAAATGATCCAATAATTCTGAGAGTCTGTCACTGTGGAGTCTTTTGGGAGTTTTTTCTATTCCTCCAGGCGACCAGAGGTCACATTGTGTCTCATCCTCTGCCTCCAGTCCTTAGTAGTGCCTGACCAGGCAAAGCTTGGGAGATCCAAACTTTATGTGAGCCTCAGGTAAACACAGGTATGGGACACACAGCACAAATGTGAGGGCTCCTCAGCTCCACAAGGAGCCTAAGGAATTTTTTTGGTCAAATGTGTCAGGCCACAGGTGAAGCTCTAACCTTTTGTGAAGCTGTTGCCCAGAGCAGCTGTGGCTGCCCCTGGATCCCTGGCAGTGCCCAAAGGCCAGGGTGGATGGTGCTTGGAGCAACCTGGGATAGTGAAAAGTGTCCCTGCCCATGGCAGGGGGTGGCACTGGATGGACTTCTAGGTCCCTCCCAACCCAAACCAGTCTGGGATCTTGTGATTCTGTGAAGCTCTGTGTGAACTTTGAGCTATTCCCTCCCGTAAAGTCCAACCCTTCAAAACCAATAAACTCCCAGACAATGTTAGTTTTTGCACTGCAAACCAAAACTTGCTCAAAGATCCTTCCTTTATTCCCTCCTTTCGCTGCCAGCAGCAGCCACCAGTGTGCACAGGTTGTTATTTCAGCTTCCTGCAGATGCACAGGTACAGATTCCCATCACTTTCAACTGATGCCAAAGACAGGGATCTGTGATAGCACCGAGTCAGGCTGATAACAGGCAAGTTTCAGCACCACTCGGCTGATAATTACACAGTTGTGAAAAATACACCAGTTGGCAACAAGCAGGAAATACAGAGCTTGCAATCCCTTGGAAAGCAAGACAACCCTCTGCCCCAGTGCAGCATGCAGCTCTGTGCTCTCAGGGCTTACCAGGCACCACACGTGCCATACCCAGAGATATCCTGAGCCTCCTGTCTCCAGAGGGGGACATTTGGGAGCTTTATCCCACACTCCAGCATCACCAGAGACCCCTTCCCCACACACACCAAAGCACATCCCGATGAGAGAACGATGGAATCTCCTGAGTGGAAGAGACCCACAGGGATCAGTGTCCAGCCCCTGGAGCTGCATGGAAGAACCCAATAGTCCTCTTGCTTTGCTGGTGTGTCTAAACAATGCTGGAGCCCTCAGATCATCAGCCTGTTACCACGCAGAGCCCACGCTGACCCTTCAGATGGATTTTCAGAAATCCCTAATGACTGCAGAATTCAGCCTGAGAGGAGTCACAGAACAGAAGCAAACACTCACCATGGGGCTGCAATTCCATGGACACATAAATAACCAATGCTGGTTCATCACCATGGAATTTCATGCTGTTTCATTGTTACATTTGTATTTATTGCAGGATCAGGGCAGTGAATTTTAAATTAATGTCTCATATAGGTAGAAATACCAGGAACAAGAAATCATGAAAGTCTGATTTCACCACGACTAGTGAGCTTTATGCTTACTCTTAAAACACAAAACTAAGTCTATTATGGGATAACTATTTCATTAGATTGTTAATACTGAATATGCATGTGAGTATGTGTGTACAAGTATTTATTTTCACATAAGTATAAGTTCTTTCTTGCATGAAATGAGCATAGTTAGTATAGAAGGCCCAGCAAAAAAAAAAACAAAACAAAACCAAAAACAAATCATATAATGATTGCCTGAACTTTTTTGTTTATACACCAAGAAAAACCTACCCTGCTCCCTTCTCCTTGTGCTGTTAAAATTACTTGTGTCCTGTAGCATAAGACAGAGAGGTCACAACACCAGTCTCCTGTTGAAAATGGCCTGAGCATGCTCAGGGAATTGACCATTTATCCCAGTTTCCTCACACACCTTGCTAGCTGCTGAGGTACATCCTCCTTTCCCCCTTCGTCATCACTAATCAATGTAAATACTTGTAGGGTTCACTTACAAGTAAGTGCAGGAAAGTAAAATAATATACTTGATAATCTCATCTAAATCACAAAATCACAGAGCCATGGAATATCCTGAGCTGGAAGGGACCCACAAAGATCATCCAGTGCAGCTCCTGGCCCTGGACAGACACCCCAACAATCCCACCCTGGCATCCATGAGAGATTTGTCCAAACCTTCTAGTTTGGCTCCAGACAAAAGAAAGCATTTTCAAAGATGTTAAAGGAGTTAAAATACAAGTGTTCTCCCTTGCCCTTCCCTGCATTTGCTTTCAAAGTGTTGAGAAAGTGCAGACAGAACTGTGATAGCAGGACTACAACATCTAGAGCTGGATATGCTAAAACATCTTCAAATAACCTCCAAGCAAATAAGCCTGCGAAATCCACACTCACCTCAATGTGGTCTGCCCAATTCTCCTCAGTCATGGTTTTCTGAAAAGACAAAATCACTGCTGAGCCATCTTAGGAAAGGGGGGGAATGTTCCATACAGCAAACTAGAGATGAACATCTTTCACTGTCCCCACTGGCATCACCTATGACCAAGGAATACAAACTGGGACACAAAGGACACCTCGGCTCCTCAGCATCTCCAGCTGGGGCACGGCAGAACACAGCTTGCATGAGGGAACCACAGCACCACTTACACCACAGCACATGAAGCATAAAAATTCCTGTGCAGTTTGTGCCCAGACTGTTCACCTCTCCAGCCATGGGAGCCATCCTGAAGGCTTCAGCCAAGCGAGGGATTTCGGGGGTCATCTGCAAGGCTGAGCCTTCAGAATATAGAAATACAATTTTTCTCAATAGCCAAATCATGAAAAATCCTCTGGCATCATGAGGTCTGGGAAAGGAAACTGATAAGCTAATATTCCCATTCTAATGCAGTTCAGAGCCAAACTTGGGGGGAAACTAAGGAAGGGACCCGCTCTCCACTCTGCCAAGAACTGCATGAGACCCACCATGAGTCTGACCCCAGCGCTGGCAGAGGAAACAGGGAGTGTCAGTGTCACTTTTATGGAAAGATACAAGAGCAAACAGGGAGCAAGAGCCTCAAATAAAACAGCTTTGAGATATCCAAGCATGTAATTTAAATATTACTGAGATAAAGGAGACAGTTAACCAGAGCTCAGACACAGCTGAGGAATGGTAAACAGAGAGCACCAAAGAGCTATCAGAAGAAGGGACTGTGTCCAGAAACATCTGCCAAATGTACCTTAATGGAATTAACTGGCCAACTTGGATACTTTAAAGCAAGCAAATTCTCCAAAACAAAGGAAGTGGAAGGCCAGAGTAAGCAGAACACCAGATCATGAATCCATTCTCTCTGCTAAACAAATACACCTGGAGAAATGCTCTGTGCTCCCTCTGTGGATGACCAAGCTCCCCACAGTGATGTCATCCAACATTAAAGCTCTGAGATGCAGGAGGCTGAAATGCTCCATCCTCCCCAGCTCCTCTGGCAGTGGGTTTGGAAGGCAGCAAAGACAGATCAGAGGCTTCCCTGATGGACTGGGAGGGCTTGGGAGCAGAACTTGAAAAAACACTCGATCATAAACTATCAATACATTTTGATTATCTCAATTAAGTTATTAAAAATGTAAATGCAATAAAAATCCTCATTCCTCACACACAACACAGCACGTACCTCAATAAATCTCTTGTAAAAAAGGTATTTCAGGGTTCTCAAGTGCTGCTGATTTATGACATTAGGGCAGAGAGCTGAAAGAAGGAAAAAGACATTTAAGTACGCAGCATTTCCTGGAAGTTTTACTGTCTAGACATTACACTTTTCCTTCCCCAGTGTCAGACTGGGTTTGTGGAAGGCAGGATGCCCTCACACTTGGAACAATGAGGGACAGACTCACACACTGTCAGCTTATCTCAACTATAAACTGTTATTTACACTTTCATCTGTGATTAGCAATGCTAATTCTTGGGTCTGATATCTGCTTCCACCACCCCTGAGTGATAAGATCCACTCCCTGGTTCAATATGTTCCACAGTCAATGACTTCACACCTTTAATTAGGCAGCATCCTCACATGGGCACCGCCTCAGTCTCTAGAAGCTGCATTCTTTCGGTTTTAATTGGACCTGTGTTGTTAATTCATTCAAGCAGTTGTGAACAGCTCACTCAGGATGTAAACTTGTGGCTGAAGTTTATCCGATAAAACACAGATCCATGAAAGAGGCTCCACATCCTCACAAAGAGGGTGGGGAATACTGCTTTGCTGAGCTAGCAAGCCACAGTTGTTATTATTTTTATTGCTGTCAGCTTCATTAGATATGGCTCATTACAACTGCAAACCCAAGATGTTCACACAGCACCTTGTTTTGAAATCCAGCAAGGAGAGATACAGGCTGGAGATAAAAGACAAGGGGCATTAGCATAGGTATCTGTCAGTTCCTGCTGGGTGCTGGGCTGCCAGTGCAGGGGAAGGATTCACCAAAGCCTTCCTGGGTCTTTCAGATGGGGCCAAAACCATCTCACTGGGAGCCAGAGGGAGCAGGGCCAGCAGCCACAGACAGTCACAGAGAACAGGAACGTGAAATTCTCTGCAGCCTTCCTCGAATTAGCACCCACAGGGAGAAACTGATTCCTCCTCCCTTTGTGTGTCCCACACAGGGCATACCCAAGGACTAAACCCCAGGAAAACAAAGAGTGATCTCTGGATACCAGAGCCTGGGATCTGCAGGTTGTGGTTACAGCAGCTCCTCAGAGTGTCCTGAAACATCACCTCAGAATGTGAGCATTTCCATCTCAAACAGAACTGCTTAAAGCTGTTATTTGTAAGTTAATCTTCCACAGTGTGGCAACAAAACCTACCCCTCAAAGTGTCTGAGACAATTACTGCAATTATCACGCAGGATATTGCACCAGTAAATATGGTGATCTTTCCTGTGGATATTGTCCCAATATCTGGAGGAAAACTCAACAGCTCATAGAAAGGAACACCCTCTAAAGAACATAAGATCAATGTAAAAATTAGTACCACCACCACCTAACTTAAAGTTTTCAAAGCTCTTCAGAAAGAACCATGGCATGACCCCTCCAGGCCACCCAAAAGATCCACTGAACAGCTTTTTCTTTGAGCTTCTAAAGGAAATAGCCAAAGCACAGGCTCTGGCAGAACTGGGGGAGTTGAATGCTTGGCTTCTGTGTGGAAAAGACAGAGGAACATGGATGGACTGGAAACATGTTTGAAGGCACTGGTGACATATTTTATTCTGATGGAGCAAAGGAACTGAGTTTGAATCTGGGTTTCTGTGTTTTATTACAAAAAAACCAGAAAAGGATGAATCAAAAACACACAGAGAGGCTGGATGGAGAACAGACTGAGAGCAGCCCTGGGAGAAGGACCTGGGGGTGCTGTGGTTGAGAGCTGGACCTGCCCCAGCCCCGCTCAGGGGTGAGACCCCACCTGCAGAGCTGCCCCAGCCCTGGGTCCCAGCTCCTCTTGGAATGGGTCCAGAGGAGGCCACGGAGCTGCTCCAAGGGCTGGAGCCCTCTGCTGTGGAGCCAGGCTGGGAGAGCTGGGGGTGCTCACCTGGAGAGGAGAAGCTCCAGGGAGAGCTCAGAGCCCTTCCAGGGCCTGAAGGGGCTCCAGGAGAGCTGGAGAGGGACTGGGGACAGGGGATGGAGGGACAGGACACAGGGAATGGCTCCCAGTGCCAGAGGGCAGGGATGGATGGGATATTGGGAACTGGGAATTGCTCCCTGGGAGGGTGGACTGGCCCTGGCACAGGTGCCCAGAGCAGCTGTGGCTGCCCCTGGATCCCTGGCAATGCCCAAGGCCAGGCTGGACAGGGCTGGGAGCAGCCTGGGACAGTGGGAGGTGTCCCTGCCATGGCAGGGGGTGGAATGGGATGGGCTTTAATGTCCCTTCCAACCCAGCCACTTGGGGATTCTATGAAAAACATGAAGGTGAAGGGTAACTTATTCAGAGAGACAACAGAATGGAGAGCTGTGCTGATATTTAACAACTGAATTAAAACACTTGGAGGAAAATCACCATGGAAGTCATGGGCAAAAAAAAAAGGGAATAACCTCCTGCTCTGTTAAGTTGTACAAATCATTCCCTTATTTCTAGCAGAGCATCTTCTGCATGGTGAGGGCTCCCAGGCCTCAGCTGGGGCTCTCACTGGTGACTGCCTGGACATGGGCTGGCAGGTCTTTGAGCCCTGAGGATGTGCGGCCAGCTGTGGCTCACCTGCGCAGCTGTGGCTCACCTGTGCAGCTGTGGCTCACCTGTGCAGATGTGCGGCCAGCTGTGGCTCACCTGTGCAGATGTGGCTCACCTGTGCAGATGTGCGGCCAGCTGTGGCTCACCTGTGCAGATGTGCGGCCAGCTGTGGCTCACCTGCGCAGCTGTGGCTCACCTGTGCAGATGTGCAGCCAGCCGTGGCTCACCTGCGCAGCTGTGGCTCACCTGTGCAGATGTGCGGCCAGCTGTGGCTCACCTGTGCAGATGTGGCTCACCTGTGCAGATGTGCGGCCAGCTGTGGCTCACCTGTGCAGATGTGCGGCCAGCTGTGGCTCACCTGCACAGCTGTGGCCGTGCGCAGCCCTCTCCTGCCCTCTGCTGCCCCGCAGCGCGGCGCTCCCGCAGCGCGGGCCGGGCGGGGCGGGCGCACGGACCGCAATCCCTCGTTCGGAACGGACGGGTGGCTGCTCAAGCGAGGGAAATGTTCTCCCTGGTTCATGTTGAGAAGGCTCTGGAAGCCCACGGCCACCACTCGCTCACGGCGCTCAGAACCGGAGTGCTTGTCCGGCACCGTCCCAGCACAGCCCACCCCGGGCCGGGGCTCTCGGGTACCCCTCTCTCCCTGCACGTGGGTCTCCCTCATTGGCACCGGGGCACTAAGCCAAACAGATGAGGCTGTTACACTTCCTCGAGTAGGATCCTTTCTACCTCAGACTTGGGAATTGTCAATGAATAACATCACAGAGCTCTCTCTGTATCCTGGCTGCGCCAAACCACAGCAGAGAACAGACTCGACCATACCCACCCTGGGACAAGGCTGTTCCCTCACCTCTGAGATCTGTTTTGACTGCAACTTGCATTTGTAAAGTCGATCTCACAGGGTCTCCAAAGACTATTAAGTAATTAGCTTGGAAAAGCTACAGGCTCTTTAAGCCAGAGCACACTGACCCAGGTGTGAGGAAAGACTCTATAAACCTCAATTTCCTCAATCACACGCCACTTCTGCCCAACTTCTTCCTCCCCCAATAAGGGTAATTAAATGAAATCCACACACAGTTTATTGGGACACCTCTGGGACTCGGCAGAAAATCTCCCACTTCCCATGCCCTGTTAGGGAGTTAACAGGAATACTGAAATACAGCTTTGAAAAAAAACCAGGAGGACTAATCTAAGAGGATAGCATTATTATTCTTTTTTCCCTGAGGTGTGAGATCTTCTTTAAACTGGGCCACCTCCTATCTGGCTCTGAAATTTAGGGCTGGCAGTTCCCAGGAGCGTTCTCAGTTGATGATGGACACCTCAGCTGTCTTTGGCAGTCAGTGTGATTTACTGTGAGTGGGCAAGAGTGAGCTCAAGCAGTGAAATCTTCAAGTCAATTTGGAACTGCAAGAACTGAGTCACACACAAGTTTGCCTTCTCATACCCAGAAACCCCAACCTCCTCCAGCCCTTCTCATCAAAGCCACTTCCTTCCCTGCTGCTGCTCTCAGGCTCTCACAGCAAGTGGGAGTCAGGGAGGAGGAGACCGAAAGCAGCCACAGCATCAGGCGAGCCCAGGTGAGGTGCCAAGAAGTGTGAGCTCTGCCTCACCACCAGCGTTTGGGGGAACTGCTCAGAACGAGAGCAGTGAGGGTTTCTTTTATCTGTACACTTTGCCCAGCCTGCTTACTTTTTGTGTACTTTTCCCTCCCAGTCAGACTTGCTTTTACTAAAGAATGGAGAAAGAACAGTCAGAAATGCAGCAAAAGGGAGGGGAGAGATGGGAACACAAAGACAGCCACATTATTCCAGCTGCTAGCATTTCCCAATTCAGTTCCAGTATGCCCAGCACTAAGGCAGCAATTCCTTTGCAGGTATTCATCCCCTTCCAAAGCACTTCAAGGGCACTGACAGCCACAGTTTAGCAATGTGTGAATTCCTGCTCATGGTATGATGTAAAAAATAAACACTTACTGTCCTGCACGAGACTGGGGAAGTCACCCAACACTGGTTTTAGCTGAAGTCCAAACCAGGTGTCCACATCCCATCTCAAACCAGCAGAGGTGGGCAGCCCTCTTGAGCAAGGACTTGCCCTTCACTGCAGACACTGCAGTTTGCATGGGAGAAAGGGCTGGAAGCACATTTATCTGGAAGGACATTTGTCTGGAAAATGGGGTCTGTATTTACCCCAAGGAATCTCCTCACCAGGGAATGGCTGTGGAGGAGCAGAAAGATCTGGCCATTATCAGCAGCTACAACATCTGGAAAGCATCACCAGGTTGAAGCATGCTGCATCCCATGGAGTGCACCTGAGCCCAACACATGCTCCTCTTCTAGATTTTTCTTTTCTTTAATTATTATTCATCAGGATTTTGCATGTGAACAGTTACATCATTTCGCCTCTACCATTATATCATGCCCTTGGTGGAACTTTCATAAGGAAAGAGGAACAATTCTTTTCTCTTTACAGATCATCAAAGACAACACAGCCAACTGAATGCCCAACACTGTCAAGGAGGGAGAACTACTGAAAACTAATCAACTCCTGGGAAGCTTTTAATTTCTAAATAAATCATTCCCATATGTCTCAGCTTTCACATGAACGTGCTAGGTCTAATTATATCCCCTTCTCTTCCAGTGAGGGTTTAAAAGGTTTATCTCGTTAACTTCTGAACACCAGTCTGAAGATGGGAAGATTAATGCGCAATAGTGTTGCTGACAGGTGTAACAAGCTAACAATTTGTGTTTAGAAAACCCTTTTCAGTCCAAGAAAAGAGAATTGCATACTTTGGGAACCTCTGCAGGGTAAAAGCTAACGGTGTCCCTAAGAGGGTCTGGTGCAAGGCCCCAAAGAGAAGGAAAAATCAACAGTCCTCACTAAGAACTAAAGCAAAGCAGATTTTGTTAGAGACCTGCTTGTGAAGCTGCTGGTGAAGTGATGGAAAATGTGCCACTTCTCTTGCAAGGTTGCAAGAGCCTTAAAATTCCCCCCATCAACCCTAGTTTATGCAAAGAATGCAAAGGGCTGTGAGGGTCCTGCTTCCCAAGGGTTATCTCCACCCAGCTGATGCGCCCACAGCTCAAGAAAACAGATCCCCAGTGAATAATGACTTTCCTCTTATGTGAGAGGAATGGAGTCATAACTCAGAGCTGACCATGATGTGTTTATGCAAAGCCATGCTGAGGTCAGGATTTATTTCAGATCATGGCAGAAGCAGTCTATCAGTCACCAGCACTTCATTCTTTGACAGCACAAAGTGGTAATTCCCATAACTTGCCAGCTTTGTTTTTTCAGTATCATTAATTAAACCCTGAAATTCCCCAGGATAAATGACAGCAAAGATTCCTTGATGATCATGGAAGAAGACAAATTGACTTTGTTCTTTATTACTGAGATAACTCCACAATATGTTGCAATATCCCATACCTGAGTCAGCGTTGAATCTCTCCAGGAGCCTGAAGACCAGCTTACTGAGCACCCTGCGGTTAAATTTTTCGGGTTTGTACTTGGACAGGCCTTGATATGGTCTGTAACAACATCATAGAGACACATCTGTGGCATCATGTAAAGGATGCTCCCCAAATAGCAGGCATTTAACAGCAGGGGGATTGGGTTTGCAGGAGGTTGAGAAGGACAGGCCCCTGCCTTTCCCAAGATACAGTGAAAAGCCAACAGCACAACCACACAAATTTCAGTCAACCACTTGAAGCAAGTCCAGAGGCTAATTTTAAAGAAAGAGAAAGTAACTCCTTTTCATCTCGTTTTCAGAGCTGACAGTAACTATTGCAGCTACACTGTGACTCCGACTGTGCTGCTGGCTCTGAGTGACAAGAGTTATTTGAGTGAGAGGCAATTCAGAAGTGAAAACACACACCAAGAGTTGATGAGCACAGGAAGGTTAACCACTTGCATCTCTTGTTTTTCTGCCACTTCATCACAGTGTTATCTTCCTGCCAAACCTGTACAACCGATACTGGAAGTCACCCTTGTCTGCAGCAAAGCACAAGAGGCTGATTGCTGCAGCCTCCTCGGGAGGCTTTGATACTGCTCTGCTGCTGGGGTGTCCTGCACAGGTTTCACCTTGGCAGGAATGGAGCATCTGTCAACAGCAAGGATTCCTCTGTCCTACAGCCTGGCTCATTGGAGAAGGCTCTGACACAGCCACCAGAATTTTCCCCTTTTCAGCCAAAAAGTCAATAAATTGCACTCCCTTATGCTGGGACACAATCACAGACAGACAGCCAGGGGACAGACACAATGCTCTCATCACAGACAGCCAGGGGACAGACACACAGTGCTCTGGCAGCACTTTGGCCCCAGCTGTCCAGGAAAACTAGTGTTTCTACCTTGTGATGTCTCTGATATTGAAGCTGAGGTCACACCACGCGTCCAGGGTCTGCAAGAGCTTCCTCTGGAGCTCAGGATATTCTGCCACGTATTCTTCCACCAAGTTAGCTTTATCCTGGAGCAGCAGTGGGGTACACATCTAGAAGAAGGAATGATGTTAAAGTGCTGTGCCCTGCCTTTGAGCCCCATGGAGCCTGAGACCGAGTCCCAGACCTACCCAAGCCACCAGTGCTGCCTACAGGAGCGCTGTGACATTTTTAACACAAATATGAGCAATGCTTCAGTGCAGCAAAGTACTGATCTCTGCCTCAGTGATGAGCACAGCCAGGATTTGTTACAGCAGTGGCTGCAGCCAGAAAAACCAGGTAAGAGGTGTAATCAAGGCTAATAAAACACTCTGTGCCTAACCTTGATTTAAAGGTACATCAACAACTCAACAGGGACTTCTTGGGAATGGAGTAAAGCCTCAGGTGAAAGGCAGCAGAACTTGGAGAGCCCTGATGGAGCTCCTGCTAACAAAAGGTGGATCTGATGACGGAGGAGCCTGCAGAGGAAATTACCTTCTCTACATCTTGATCTGGCTGTAATTTCAGCTTAATGCTCAGTACAGCTGCCTAGAAAACATGAAAAAAAGTTGTGTATTTAGAAGAACCCTACAATGGATAAATGGGCATTATTCCAAAGTGAAATAAAAATAATGCTATACACATTTTTAATGTACGTTGTCAAGCACAAATCCTGCAAACATTTTGCCACATTCATTCCACAAATGGACAAGAACACTCCTGGCAGAGCTGCATATCCTGAGTAGCAAAGCCCCTGGAGCAAAAATTAAAGATCAAATTGTTGGGCAGAAAGCAAGCAAAGCACTTGGACAAAACCAGCTGGGATGGGTATTTCCTATTTATTTGACACCCCTGAAAGCGCCACGGTCACCACAGGCAGCGAGATGGGAAGAACTATATTTTTCCTTTTCATGGCATCTCCAAATCTTTGGTAAGTCAAGACCTGCCATGTTCACAAATTGCCTCCAAATCAGGATCTTCTGGGACCTGCTGGGATGAACTGCAGGAACTCAAGCTCAGAAGAGCTGGTTCAGCCACTGCCTGTCCCATCCCAGCTGGAGACCACAGGAATGGATGAAGCTCTAACTGTGCACTGCTTGGGAGGCACAGGCACAGATTAGGATTTACAGGAGGTAAGAGTGTCTAGTTTCTGTAGTGTGTGAGAACACTTGGATCCCAAATGCAGAATAAGCACTCAGTGGATGACTTTAATATAGTGCCTTGTGCCCGTATGTGGGGCAATCAAGGCAAGGAGCCTTGGAGCCTCTGTGTGTTTGTGCTGAAGAGGGAACCAGGACTGAGAGGTTGGACATGGAGCGTCCTTCCAACACCTGTGCCAAGTCAGGCTGCATCTGCCCAAAGGGCTGTGAGCAGTGCAGAAAAGACATCTGTGACCCCGGCAGAGCATGCGTGCACAACTGACCAGTGATGGGATGGAATCCACTGAGCTCACAAACACCTGTTTATTCAGATGAGGATAAAACCAGTGTGGTAGGGAGTGGAGGAAAAGCTCTTCTCTTCCATAGGTTTCTTTGCTCTTGGTGATTGAGTTTGATTTGAGAGAAAGACCAGGAAGATGACGCATTTGTCAAAATGGATGCATGTTAGAAGTGTGCTATTTGTTGGAATATAGAATAGTAAATTGGTTTGGGTTGAAAGGGGCCTTTAACAAGCAAACTAGTTGCAACCCCCCTGCAGTGAGCAGGGACATCTTCAGCTGCATCAGGTTGCTCAGAGCTGCTGTCCATCCTGACTTGGAATGTTTCCAGGGATGGGGCAGCCACAGCTTCTCTAGGCAACCTGTGGGCAGGGCCTCACCACCCTCACTGTAAAAAAATATCTTATATCTAATCTTAATCTCCCCTCTAATAGTTTAAAACCATCACCTCTTTTCCTCCACTCCAAGACCTGATAAAATGTTTGTCCCCATTTTCCTTACAGACCTCATAACACAAAAACAAAATGCAGTACCAAATGTGCATTTCCCCAGGGAACGAAAACCCCACCTTACATGTCACCTGCATAAAACTGTTCTGGAAAAAAACCCAGAATAACCCAAGTGGGGGCAGGCACATGCCTTGAAATGCATTTCCTGTGATCACGCAAGTGCAACCTGAACTCACCCCATCACTGGCAGCACATGTCCTGCAGAGCCCCACAAGCACCACAGACATCCCACAGCTCATCCCTGCTCACAGAAGCAGCAGTGGATTATATTATTTTCTGGGGAATTCGTGCCTGTATTTCACCCACTGCATCACAGACTGAGTGTGTAAAAGCAGATAACCAAGACATGCCATAGAAGTTCAGCTGCTCTATCTTACTGCCCCACTTAGAAGTGGGAAAACAATTTTTTCTGTTTGTTTTGGTTTGGGTTTGGTTTTGGGGCTGTTTGGGTGGTTTGCTTTTTTTTAACACTGCTTCATTGGAAGATCAGGCTTCATCTTCAAAAGAGAAATCAAGAAAAGAACTTTAAGTGACAAAAAGAGGAATCACAATTAATGCAGAGACTGAACAGAAATACACAGGAGCATTGCTTAGCCCAGCTAAACCTCATCCAAACCTCTCCAAGTCCAGACTTTACAACTATTCCACAAGTCAGAGGCAAAGAGCTGCTTCTTTCCTCTCACATTTTCAGTTTAACAGCACAATGTTTAAGCTGAGTGATTATTCTCAGGTTGAAGGTTGCTATTTCTGGTGTGGACGTGAAAAGGGGGTTTAGATCTCCAAAGCTTTGGCAGATGGTTTTACTTTCCTCCCAGCTCCTCAAGTTTGCTGAATCAAAAGAAATCATTAAAAAAAAAAAAAAAAAAAAAAAAAAAAAAAAAAAAAGAGAAGAAAATATTAAGAAAATATTTGCAAATCTCCAGGCCTTGTTTCATCATTTGATCTTGTTAGTAGCTCTTATTGTAGCCTTAGTTTTAACTGCAACATCCAACAGCTCCCTAATGGCTTTTTAATGTTCAGATTAACCTAATTGCAGCACTGTTATCTACATGGCTGAGGTTTATCTCCAGCTCCACTAACTGTACAGGTGACTTAATCAGACGAACATGTGTGGTGTCAGGTTGGGTGTTCCTCTTTCCCTGGTTGGATATACCACCCTGTCCCCAAGGATGTGGAACAACAGATGTTCATTTGTCCAGAGTGTGGGGAGCCCTCTCTTCCCTGCCCAGGGCTGGCAGATGCAGCTCTCCCACAGCAGGCCTGGGGGACAGAGGAGCTCCAATCACACAGAGATTCATGACATCCTCACGGTTGGAGATGACCTCTAAGATCACTAAATCCAACCCAGCACCACCACAGCGTTCACTGCCAAACCATATCCCTAGGTGCCACATCCACACGTTGTTTTGAACATCTCCAGGGATGATGATTCCATTGCTCTGGGCAGCCTGGCCCGTAATCTGGTTTTTATCAGTAATTTGACATCCTCCAGCTCAAGCAGGTCAGGAGCAGGCAGAGCCATGGTGCTGCTGGCATAGCCTCCCTGCAGCAGGGAACGCTCCGGGAGCAGGGCAGCTGCCTGCTCCAGCCTGAAGCCATCCATGGAAGGCCAAGCACGAGCTGGGCGCTAGAAACAGGCACCAGGCTGGATGAGGGTGCAGCTCCAGGGGCTGGGCTGAGCGGGAGGCCAGCAGAGATAAAATCAGCCTGCTTACAATGGGAATAGTAAGAGAAGAGATATGAGTAACTGTAATAAAGATGAAAGTGCTTGGCAGCTGTGTCTGTGGTCTCAACTCCGAGCTATTTTAAGATTTTGTTTTGTTATTATCATGTTTTGAATTGTTTCAGTCCACAAACAAGTTTTGTGTAAAACGAGCCTATTTTTAACAGTCTGTTTACAGCCGATAAGATCTCCAGCAAAGCAGCACCTCATTCGCAGGTTCATTTTGACTCAGAAAACAAACACTTTAATGAGGCTGAACAGGCTGTAACTGAACGGGTGAGAAACCCCCTCCCACCCAGAGCCAGCAGTGCCCATCTGCAGTGCTGGGAGATCCTCGGGTTGGGTCAGTGGGGCTGCCCAGATCCTGAACAGCACGCACCCCCGACTTCAGCAGCTAGTCAGCAAGAGCCAAAACCCGAGGCAGGATGCAGGAACATGGGCAAGCTCTGGGGAATGCTGAGATATTGACACCTATCAGGGTCTACTCACCCCCTCAAGCCCCAAAGAGAATATAATTGTCACGGCTGGTGTTACAAGGAGCCTTTGCACAAAAATGTTTCATCCACAGAGAGTTTCTAGCATAATCTAACAACAGCAATAATTATTATTATTGCAGTACATAACAGTGCTCAACCTAAACCCCCACAGATGACAACAAGCCAGGGGGAGGCTGGTCCCTCTCTTGCTTTGAACCCCCAAGTGTACCTGGGAGCAGGATGTGATGAGCGCACTGCATGCACTGCTTAGTGCAGCAGAAAAGCTGAAGGTGAAGACCATTGCCTGATCCAACTCCTGTCCAAGCCTCTGAGCCTCCTCATCGCTGGGTTTGGGCCGTTCTTTGACTTATTGATGGTGAATGTAAAAATCCCACCTGAACATTTTGCAATAGTTTTGTATCCCAATGATAAATCCCTAAAATACAGCAGAAGGCTGGTTGAGTCTGGGGCAGAATTGAAAGGTGGGCAACACTACGCTGAATTCCACCTAACCCACGTGTAGGTGCCCTGACCAAAGGATGGGGCAAGTTTCCCAAACCTGACATGTTCAGGCCCAGCCATGAGCACCAGAACACTCCCGCAGTCACGCGAACGCAACCCACGAGTATGGGAAAGTGGGGAGTGCAGGGGACACCCTGCACCAGTACCTGCTCCTCGCCGCTTGTTTTGAATGCACTTGGCTCTGTCTCATCGAAAAATGACTATTCTTTCCACGTACAGTACGAGGTGCAGGAAGCCACACAAGATCTTATCTGCAAGGGCATGTGCACTTGGGTGGTGTCTGCGCTGACGATTTCTGCATTTTCCCACGGTGGGGCTCGCAGCAGAGGAATTGCCTCGTGCAGGAGAACTGCTTGGAGTGCTGGGGCAGGACGGACACCAGCGGCTGCTGATGGCTCCTGCTCCTGGCTCTGCTGCAAGTGAGCTGGGACAGCACCAACACAGAGATGGCTGTGCCTGACTGAGTGCACTATTTCTGAACACACAGTAAGGGAATTTCTGAAAACCCAAAGAATAAACAAAACAACAGGAGACTTTGCAGAGAAAATCACAGTGATCAAAGCCTGGATAATGACAGAAATAATTGAGTAAAAGGCACACCAGGTATTAATCATTGGGCACATCTGGTTTCTGTTTTGGAATCACTCATTTCAAACTTGAGGCTAATCAACTTTGCTGAGCTCTCAGAGTGCATCACTGCAAGTGGATGACATCAGGTTCGATGGTTGATTGCTTCCTGCTCAAAGGGCACTTCATACACAGCTGGCTGTGGGAAGGTCTGCAGAAACCAGGGAAAACAGGACATTCCTCAGGTCTACACTCAGGAGACCAGGGAAGAAGGAGACCATCAACATGGAGCAGTGACAGGCTTTCCCAGCCAA